ATTCTCTACGGCACTGGATGTTAAATAAAATTTCAGCACGCAAAAGGACGGTATTAGGTACTGAACTTAAAATTCAACTTCACAATTAATGAGAAAAAAATTATCAACATCTTTACTTTGGGGTCACTTCAGGAATGTTAGAATGACTTTATACCAAATTCCCAAAAAATTCTATGGTGACACAACGCAAAAAATTCAAAATAACTTCTGTCCAATCAATAGTTGATCCTTTGGTCCTTTGGAAGGTAACAATAATTTGAAAAATTGGATCTTGGAACGCCTTGTACAGTACAGTCGGAGCTTTTGTATCGTCAGGTAAAAGTTTGGTTACGCTTTGAAAGCGAAAGATGGTTTCTCGCAATTTATTAGTCGAAATTTGGTTTATTTACTGGAATAATTGACCATTGTTCCGCAGCATGGAAATGTCCAAAATTACCCTTATAACTTAGAGTTTTGAGAGCCAACAAAAGCACGAATTAATTGTTTTTAACCTTTTTACCGGTTGCCGTTTAATGTAGGTTTAATAACACCCCGTATACACAAGAGAAGTTCACAATTTTGATTGACAAACTTGTTTTTTTTTCGTCTAACCGTAATTTCGCTCAATAATCGTTTAGACAAGTTCTCTAAAATGAATAATTGCCACCATCCGCCATTTCCAGAGAAATTACATACCTAAAATTATCACATTTTGAAAAAATTCTAACGAAATTACTCTTTGAAAATATCTCAATGACAGAACAAAATACGGCCTGTTTGACTTGTACTTCCACGTACTTGATTGACATGTTAAATTAATAAACAAAAAATTCTGTCCAACCGTTCACTTTCTTATCAATATAATATCACAGATTTAAATAATCTGTGATAATATGTTAATTTAGAGGACTTCAAGTGACTAGCACTTGAAAAAAATAGTATATACAGGGGGTGTTTTTTGGGAGCTTTAGTTAAACGTTTCTGGGAAAGTAAAATACGTAGGTTTTTGAAAATTTGTACTTAGGAGTTACTCTGAAGGCCGAATCGATGTAAAATATTTTCAAAATGTCCGCACTTCCGGAAACACCGGAAGTAGATAGTAATTCCGTTATTTTAAATGGCAACCCCTATTTTTTATTGCATTTTTGGATTCTACGTGAAATTTCAGTTCTTTTGATACCCATATGTCGATATCTGCCATTTATGGTTTTTAAGTTATTTTGACTTTAAGAAAAAAAATGGCGGATGCAGATGGTACCTTGATAATTGATTACTTGAAAAAGGTTATAGTCATGGCAACCCATTTTTATCAGTGCATAGAGAATGAATAGGGCTTTCTTTTAGTGTACTTAAAAAAAAGTTAAGTTGCGTACAACCGCACCTATGGAGATCCAAATTGAAGAAACTTCAAAGTCCATAAACTCAGTTTTTTTTAAATGGAATGACCATGTTCTTAATATTGCATGAGATAGAGAATCGAAATTGGCATATTTTGATATTACATGTTCCTATAGCTATCTTTAACAGTTTCTGATTTATTCCCATTTCATTGGATTGATCTCGGAATTGATGTCATTTTTTTTCGCATTTTCTTTTTAGTAGATGGCCATGATTTTATAACAATCGAATTTTAAACAAATCAAGGAATGGAGTCTTTAATACCATTGATTCTAGTTCTAGTCTAAATAATTCATTAATAAATAACTCATTTATTAAGGATATAGGACGGAAAATTTTTGAAAAATTTGTTAATCTTGCATTTGCAATTCAATTCATTTTCTTAAATATTCTCTTGTAGAGCTTTGTATCACTTGTGCTTCAACCGTTTGTAGTGCATTAGGGGTACAAAATTTCCAAAATTCATACAATTTCGTTCCAGTTTTCAGAATGAATGTACGGAAAGCACGCGCCGCGATTCTGCCCATTTCACCATAAATAACAATTAAATTCCAAAATAGGTGAAACCACTGCGAGTCATTTTTCGATTTTTGAAAAACTTATGTTAACCTATAACAGTGGGTGATGGATTAGTGTCACTAGATTTGTTTAAAATTCAATTGTTATAGAATCATGGCCGACTACTAAAAAGAAAATCCTAAAAAAATAGTGTCAATTCAATAAAATGGGAATAAGTCAGAAACTGTTAAAGATAGCTATAGGAACATGTATTGTCAAAATATGCCCATTTCGATTCTCTATCTCATGGAATAGTAAGAACATGGTCATTCCATTTAAAAAAACTGAGTTTTTAGTCTTTGAAGTTTCATAAATTTGGATATCCATAGGGGCGGTCGTATGCAACATAACTTTTTTTTAAGTGCACTAAAAGAAAGCCCTATTCATTCTCTATGCACTGATAAAAATAGGTTGCCATGACTACAACCGTTTTCAAGTAATCAATTATCAAAGTACCATCTGCATCCGCCATTTTTTTTCTTAAAGTCAAAATAACTTAAAAACCATAAATGGTAGATATTGACATATGGGTATCAAAAGAAGTGAAATTTCACGTAGAATCCAAAAATGCAATAAAAAATAGGGGTTGCCATTTAAAATAACGAAGTTACTATCTACTTCCGGTGTTTCCGGAAGTGCGGCCATTTTGAAAATATTTTACATAGATTCGGCCTTCAGAGTAACTCCTAAGTACAAATTTTCAAAAACCTACTTATTTTACTTTCCCAGAACCTTTTAACTAAAGCTCCCAAAAAAACACCCTGTATATTTTTGATATATTCGGTTCTTCGGTGATATCTCACTCATTCTTAAAGATTTTTCAAAAACTTCAAATGCGTTTTTTTAGTCACAAAAACGTACAACTTTGCCGCCATTTAACCTACACTGTATCTCGCAATCTCGCAATAGTGAGCTACGAATTTGAACCACCCTGTAAATAAATCGACTGTATTCATTGCAACATTTTTATGTTTACCCGGATACGTTGCTGAACAGTTTGAGGAAAATTGCTAAAATACTGTTGGAATTCAACTCGTATAGGTTGTTGACTTGTAATTTGTTTGATCTGTAATATTTCCCAAATCGTATAATGGAACGGAAACGTTTTTATGATATGATAACACAATTTGAGTACCTACTATGTTTTGCAATACAAAATTGCAAGTAAGTGGGAATGTCGAAACAGTGTACCCTTAACGTATCTCAGTGGTGAAAAAATTTGAAAGCATTGACGTACGCGTTGCGTGCAAAATTTGAAAAATAATGATCAAGTGCTCACTGATATCTGAATAAATGGCCCCTTTTAAGTTGCTATCCATGCTGTTGCGTTAAGCTGCACAGTACAGATCTCGAGTGTACTTGTTTAAAAACTAAGTAAAGCGGTTTATTTCCGTCCGTTTGTTCCTCCGTCCGTCTGTCCGGACCCACTTCCACCGTTTTGAACTACTTCTAGGGGAATGGTCGTAGAGTCCTGGAATTTTTTGCAGTAGGTAGCCTATACCTTGAAGGTGTGCCAGACGGCCATGAAATTTCGCTGTCTAAAAGGGGGCCCCCCACGAATTATTTCCTGAGATGCTGTTGTTGCATCCGTCCGTCCGGACCCACTTCTACCCCTACTTCTAGGGGAATGGTCCTAGAGTCCTGCAATTTTTTACAGTAGGTAGCCTATTCCATAAGTTTTACATACGACAACCAATTGGTCTCAGATGTTGCAAACGCATGCCTTTAGTGGTGCAAAGTTAATATTTAGGAAATGAGCAGGGGGGGGGGGGCATGTTCTACCCTTCATGGTCTAATGAAAGGTCTCATCGAAATAAATTGGTTTGTACAAACTATAATTTTCCCGTGCGACTCTTTTTCGAGATTAGTGAGCAACGTGGTCTGAGGGGGTTAGGAGGAGGAGGGGGGTTAAAAATTAATTTTATCTCTCATTTTATTCTAATTAAAGGTCTCAACGAAAGGAACCGTTTTCTATCAACTACTGCCCTTCTTTCTGTCCTCTTATCAAAGTACGAGGTGGAGGGGGAGGGGGGGAAGTGGAGCTAGTTTTATCCTTCATAGTACTCTAATGAAAGGTCTCAACGAAAGGAATTAATTTCTACCGACCATAGCCCCCCTCCTCGACCTCTTATCCTGATCGGGTATATGCCCTTATACCTCAAGAACTGATTGTCGGAAGAGGGTACTCACAAAGGGCGATTGAGACGTCTGCAAGAAATATATCCATTGGTGATGTCAAAACAAAAACTATTTCGGTTAAAAAATGCGTTTTATCTCAACAAGAGTTGTGCACAATTTATACTTGTTTTTTGTTCTTCGGAATTTGTTAAAACCATTCGTACTGTAACGTGATTTATAAATTCGGGTTCGATTTATATCAATATTTATTAAACAAAACTAAAACACTATAAAAACCGTACAATTTATATCGATTATTTATATCACACACACTTCGCAATTTATATTTCCGCGCTCGATGTTTCGTCCGTACTCGTTCGGTAGTAGACTGCCGCGATGTTCGGTCCGCAACCATTTATACACGCAAGCAATGTAAGTCCAGAAAATTCGCGCAATTACCAGACACGCTGCAAAGATCCCCACTATCGCGCGTCTAGAAAATTCCAGAGCGCCAAAGGCGACGTCATGTCTGGAGCGTTTCCGTTACAGTACCTATTGCTCTATGATTTTTTTTCTTCTTTTCATTTCTTGCACTCAGGTCTGCAATAATTTCAGTTTAAGTATGCGTTTCGGTTAAAACTAAACTTTTGCCTTTTCTTCGTTTAGTAACTCCTAACTCCTAAGTGGAAACGGTCAGATATCTTCATGAGACACTAGAAAATAAACTAATGAGCGCGTTATACACTAAGGATTTCAACA